ATGAGACTCTTTTATACTGGTGAATGTAGCTTTGAGCAAAGAAGAGCTGTAAGTAATTTCTTATAATGCTGCAGAATATAGCGCTAATACACTTATTATGCCAACTCATAAGTACAAGTGATTTGTCCCTAAGAAGGCAAGTGAGAGAATCTCAAAAAATTATGGAAATTTTTGTACACTTATTTAGCACTATAAAACACATTGTCATACACTAACTCATCTGAAGTTCCCAGCAACTCTGAATGCCTCCAGTTTACTGCATTTATTCATATTAAAGATACTTATTGTATTTAAGAGATGGAAAAATAAATAAGGCTGCCCACAAATTAAGCATATTTACCAAGGTTTTATATTCGTATTAGTTTGCACAGTAATGCTAGCTGCTGTAACAAATGCTAGCATTTCAGAACTTGGAACTCTAAGCAATGACCCTGCAACAGTAATTCATCAGTTTTTCTGTGTTGTGGTTCTGCCCTCCTGTAAGGCAACAGAAGCCTCTGCCTTCAAGGATCAGGGAGAGCACACCTGATTTGGCACAGAGGTGACTTCCATCACTTCCATTCACATTCCCTGATTTTGGAGTTGCAGTTATATGGAAGGGGTGGGGGCATGGAGCCATGTGCTCTGGCAAGGTACTTAATGGCCAGCCACCACTCTAATATGAAAGAAGGCAAGAAAGTCTGGGGGACAGTTCACCACGTCAGTATGGGAGGGTGAAATGGTAGGGGCAGCTCTCTTTCCAAAGGGAACAGGACATGAAGGCTTGTGTTCTCTCTGCTACCCCACGTTGCCTCTCAGCAGTTAGAAACAGCTTACTTGACAACTCAGCACAGAAAGAAAATAGAGATCCATCCTACATCCATTTCTGTTGCACTTTCTTGTGTATAAAAGATAGTATTTTGTTTTTAATAAAAGCAATATCACATTATTATTACCTAGTAATGTAGATTCTAATAAAAATTTAAGGTATACAAGGATACTTCAAAAAGTCCATGGAAATTCAATAAAAGATAAGTTTATTTTGCTGAAAATTATTTTGAAGTCTATGAAGTTTGTTCATAATAATGCATTTTGTATGAAGTACCCTTGTATAAATACAGAGATCATCTGAAGAGATTAAACATGGCACATTTCATTATAACAGCCTACCACACATGATTAATGAACATGTCTAACAAAATAGAGGGAAGTAAGACTTATAAAAACCAAGAGCAACCACTTCATGATTTTATTTTTTGGTCTTCTGTCTTGATTTCTCCATAAGCCCAAGTATGTAATTTGAGGTGAATTAAGAAGCATGCAAACTGAAGACAGAGTAATAAAAAACTAAGATAATATTGATTATGATGTGCTAAGGTTTGCTTAAAAATGGAATTGTGGGGTAATCATTTATCCTAATGGCTAAGATGTCAGTTCAGATGCCCCTGCCCCACTATGATGTCCTGGTGCCAGCCCCTGATTCCAGCTTCCTGTTAATGCAGAGCCTAGGAGTTAGTGGTGATGGTCAAGTAATTGGACTCCTGACCCCTACATGGAGGACTGGGATTGAGTTCTCAGCTCCCAGCTTCAGGCTGGCACAGCCTTGGCTGTTGTAGGCATCAGGAAAGTGAACCAGAAGATGGGAACTCACTTTCTCCCTCTCAAATAATTTTTAAATACATATAATTATGGTTTATCTAATGGAGATTGAATCCATGAGTGTAGCAAATAAAAGATTCTATTTATCTCAAATAGAAATTTCTATGTTTACAACCAAATATTTTTAAAGAAAAAAAAAAAGCATCATTCTGTTTTTGAATCCAGCACACTCATTGTCCATCTATGTCTTCTAATTGCCAATCTAACCAGTAGAGTTAATGTTACAAAAAAAGACACATCTGTATATTTAAATGGTGTGACACACACTGAGAATTTTTAAATGTGTTCTTTATATATGCTCCTTCTGCAGCCATAAATTGCTTCCATATAGTCTATGAAAGAACAGAGGGATTTACAACATGGTAGGATGGGCCACTTGTGTGGTATAAATATATATGTATTGCTAAGTAAACATTATATACACATAAAATATATACATAACACTAAGTCTTGCTTATACAGGAGCTAAAGGAAACACAGTGCCTTCTGGCTGAGCTTAGAAAATGTAATTTCTATAATGAATCATCTTTTCCTTTATATCCTTAAGAGCGGAGGCCCGGACAATAAGATGAAACTTTCATACACACAAACACACACACATGGTGAAGGGAGCTAGGAGTAGCAATACCCTCAAAAACTCAATGGGCCCCAAACCAATGAATGCTAAATAGTCAGACATAATAATAAAGGAACTAATTTTTTATTTAAGCCACTGTGAATGCAACATTCATCAGAGTAAGAGAGTAGCTTCCATTAGATTTTTATGGATTGGTAACTAGATCTGCTTTCTTTAACATCCCAAAGCCGCCTGGGTATGGTAATATCTGTCATTACTCTGAGAAGCTGCTGTGTTCTGAAGACTCCCTGTGTCAGTCTTTTGCTTATCACTCTAAAGAGATTAATCTCTAACTAATGATCTTCTGATGTTGTTAACCTTAGGTCTGAACTTTTAGTCTATCAAGGAAAGAAGGGGCAGGATTCAGAATGGTGGAGAAAATACCTGAAGTATATAAAGTAAAATAGAGACTGCCTTCCTAATGTAATGTAATAAGTCATTATCATTTAAAAAAAAACTTTTTTTATTTTTTTATTTTTTGACAGGCAGAGTGGACAGTGAGAGAGAGAGACAGAGAGACAGAGAGAAAGGTCTTCCTTTGCCGTTGGTTCACCCATGGCAAGGTCTATCTTTTTTTCCATTCCCCTACTGGTAACAGCAAAAGGATTTCAGCTGAGAACCATCCAAAAATCCATAATTTTTTGTTTGTGTCTTTTCTCCTCTCTTCTTTCAGCTTCCTGCTCAGAATTGGACTATGATTGGAAGCAAGTTCTGAGTTCACAGCAATTTCTTTTGACATCACCTGTTTCTAGGTAATAAATATGCCATTTTCAAATTAATGTGGCATTTCTGCAGTTAATTATATGCATCAAAATTATTTCAATAGGAATATCATTTTCACAACACACATCATGAAGTAGAAATCATCCCAAAACACACAACTCCTGGCCATTATATCTACAGATGTTTCATACTAAACAAAAACCTTAGAAAGCACATTTTCTGAGAAAAAATAATGAAAATTTGAAGAAATAATAAACATCTCACTCCAAAAAATGCCTAGAAATAAGAAGACTATACTTCTCTTCCAAATCAAAGAGAATCACACCGAAAGCAAGAAAAGTCCTAATTTCTTCTTGGATCTAACTTAATGCCTAAACTACACATTTCTGATTGAGTTACTTCAGTTCCATTTATAAAGCTATGTACTGGCTGTAACATAAGCTTATCAATCTAGTACTGTTTTCTATCTGTATTACTTGGCAATAAACTGCAGATAGTTGTTGAGATTTCCGATATTGCTATATTTTTTCCTTCATATTAAAATTGGATAAAATGTTACTGTCTTTATACCATTTTGTCTTGAATAATAAAAAACACAAAGCGCTTATTAGCCTATTATCACAATAGCTGACTATACCCTAACAAAAATCACTCTTAAAATTTTACTTTTATTTTTGGACTAAGTTAAAATACTTCTGAAATATGTATACACTGACTTTGAGACAAGATGTAATTGTGATATTAAATTTTATTGAAATTTCTCAGGTCCTGATTTGTGTACAGGCTTGTGCTCTGAGTTTCCCATGAAGCAGTAAAACGTTTAAAATACTGTCTGTGCAAATGCAAAATTTATGAATTCACACATCTCTGGTTGATTTATGTGAAATAATAATGCACTATTTAATGCTTAAACATGGCTAGGAGCAATGCTAGGCTATCAAGATGTACAATGGAATAATAGATTTATAAGACGGATAGCCTTCTTGCCTAGAGAAGCTTGTTTAAAGGTGTTGTACAGATATATTAAACTATATGTAATTTTATACTAACTTAATGCTGTAGGCCTATACTGCAAGCAATAAAAGATTACAACCATGGCATTTGCAATAATAAAATGATCTGGCTATTCAACATAAGGTATCTGAGGACTAAAGAGATAAGGAACTTGTTTAAAACTTTTGTCCCCTTTCATTCATTGCTCTTCATCAGATATATATTTTTTCTTCTTTATGGGGCCAACATAAATCTCTGGTTCAGTGATTATTGTTCATCAAATATCTGAGGGGAGAGCTTTTTTGGGAGGGGGGGTAATTGGTTATATTCAGGCCACCTCCAGACACATTTAATAAACATCTGATTTCCCTTGAAATTCAATTCAAAACTCATTAAGATAAGAGAATTATAATTTGCAGTTTTCTGATAATTTCTTTGCTCTTTCTTATACTTTGTATTTTTTTAACTAGGGAAGTAAATATTTTTCCAAGTGAGTAGTTTTAACTAATTTTATTTGAAAGGCTGAGAAATGGGAAGACAGAGGGATAGAAAAAAATTGACAGAGCTCCTATCCACAGGTTCACTCCCTAAATGCTGCGATAGACAAGACTGAACCACGCCAAAACTGGGACCTCAGTCCAGGTATCGTTCATGGATGTCAGTAGCCTTTGTCTACTGCCACCCAAGGTGTGCATTAGTAGGAAATGGAAGTCAGGAGCAGAGTCAGGACTTGAACCCCGGGACTCCAATATAGGATGCTGACTTCCCAAGCAGTATCTTAATTCTAGGCCAAACACTCAACTCATATTTTGCTTGTTTTTTTTTTTTTTTAATCATTGTAAGGTAAACACTAACATGCATTTGCCAATTTTTATGTTCACATAAATTAAAAGATATATAAAATTTTAGAATATGTAAATTTATCTCTCTAAAATACAACTCTTTCAATTGTGTAATAATGTGTTTTCATAGTTAAATCTTTGTCCAATGATGAATTAATGAAAAATATCTTTCTAAAATTGAGATGTAAACCAACTCCAACGCGGCAGGCAAACAGCTGCGTAAAGAGTCCCAGAAAGACCGCAAAAACCCGCGGCCTCCTAGTGTTGGCGTGATTGACAAGAAAGAGGAGACGCAGCCGCCCGTGGCGCTCAAGAAAGAAGGAATAAGACGTGTTGGGAGAAGACCTGATCAACAACTTCAAGGTGAAGGGAAAATAATTGATAGAAGACCAGAAAGGCGACCACCTCGTGAAAGAAGATTTGAAAAGCCACTAGAAGAAAAGGGTGAAGGAGGAGAGTTTTCAGTTGATAGGCCTATAATTGACCGACCTATCCGAGGCCATGGTGGTCTTGGAAGAGGTCGAGGAGGCCGTGGACGTGGAATGGGCCGAGGAGATGGATTTGATTCTCGTGGCAAACGTGAATTTGACAGGCATAGTGGAAGTGATAGATCTGGTCTGAAGCACGAGGACAAACGTGGAGGTAGCAGATCTCACAACTGGGGAACTGTCAAAGATGAATTAACTAACTTGGATCAATCAAATGTGACTGAGGAAACACCTGAAGGTGAAGAACATCCAGTGGCAGACACTGAAAATAAGGAAAACGAAGTGGAAGAGGTAAAGGAAGAGGGTCCAAAAGAGATGACTTTGGATGAGTGGAAGGCAATTCAGAATAAAGACCGGGCAAAAGTAGAATTTAATATCCGAAAACCAAATGAAGGTGCTGATGGGCAATGGAAGAAAGGATTTGTTCTTCATAAATCAAAGAGTGAAGAGGCTCATGCTGAAGACTCTGTTATGGACCATCATTTCCGGAAGCCAGCAAATGATATAACGTCTCAGCTGGAGATCAATTTTGGAGACCTAGGCCGCCCAGGACGTGGTGGCAGGGGAGGGCGAGGTGGACGTGGGCGTGGTGGACGTCCGAACCGTGGCAGCAGGACTGACAAGTCAAGTGCTTCTGCTCCTGATGTGGATGACCCAGAGGCATTTCCAGCTCTGGCTTAACTGGATGCCATGACAACCCTGGTTCCTTGGTGGACCCTCCTGTTCAAAGCTTTTGCATGCTTAAGGATCCCAAACGACTAAGAAATTTAAAAAACAAACAAAAAAAAGACTGTCATTCATACCATTCACACCTAAAGACTGAATTTTATCTGTTTTGAAAATGAACTTCTCTCGCTACACAGAAGTAACAAATATGGTAGTCAGTTTTGCATTTAGAAATGTATTGGTAGCAGGGATGTTTTCATAATTTTCAGAGATTATGCATTCTTCATGAATACTTTTGTAATGCTGCTTGCAAATATGCATTTCCAAACTTGAAATATAGGTGTGAACAGTGTGTACCAGTTAAAAAAAATAAATAAACCAAATAAATATATCTAGAATATTTTCATTGTATTAAAATTTCAACTAATTTTAACAAATGTATTCACCTATCCACATTCAAGCAACAATTAAATAAAATGATTCTAATAACCAATGAATTATTTTAAAAAATAATTTTGTTTTAACCAAAGCAGAAATTTAATATAATCTTCTTTGAAACAACAAAAACTTTTAAATCAAAACTTTTATGTAAGTTACTTTAATGTAAGGAGTTAGAAACCCAAAGAACTAAAAAAGGATGAGTGATCGGCTATAGGGAAACAAAAGTTAGTGTGAAATTGTCAAATTACATTGTAAAACATCCAGTTGAAAACAAATCAAAATTTGATGACATTTTCAAAATGCACATGAATGCTTTTTTCTTCTAATTTCAAAAATTTCATTGTATGTCTATGGCTACAGTGCCTATATAGGACAAAGCTCTAAAAGCTTGATAGTCATATCACTTGTGTGAACTTCAAGTCAACTCTATTCGTCAAGAATTAGCCTATTCATGCATTAACCATCAAATAAATGTTCAACTCCTTCTGTACATGTACTTTCTAAAGAGAAAAACTTCAACAGTCATTGTTAATTGCCTATAAGCAACTTTTATTCCCTAATTACATACACAGTGGAAACACATAATTAAGAAATATCTCAGTGCTAGGGCCAATCCATGGCATGGCAGGTAAAGCTGCCCCCTGTCGTGCCCGGCATCCCATGTGTGCCAGTTCGAGTCCCGGCTGCTCCATTTCTGATCCCTCTCTCTGCTATGGCCTGGGAAAGCAGTGGAAAATGCTCCAAGTCCTTCGGACCCTGCACCTGTGTTGGAGACCCAGAGGAATCTCCTGGCTCCTGGCTTGGGATCAGCCCAGCTCTGGCCTTTGTGGCCATTTGGGGAGTAAACCAGCAGATGGAAGACCTCTCTCTGTCTTTGCGTCTGCCTCTCTGTAACTCTACCTTTCAAATAAATAAATAGATCGTTACAAAATAAATATCTCAGCGCTGAAATATCACCTTATGTGAGATATCTGTTGTTGAATGATTTTCAGCATTTTCAACATTGCCCTTTGGAAATGTGTAGTATCTGAACAGCCAAAAATCTAGTAGCCTGTTGAAATTTGTCAATAAATGTGGCCAGTCTGCATTTTGAAAAGGCAGAGTGCAACTTCCATCCATTGTAACCAGCTTAATGCAAGCAACATCTGCCTAGTTTCCTGAGGAATAACCAACTGATATGCTGGGCAGGACGATAACTATAGTATCCTTTATAAAAAAAGAAGATAGAGGAAAATGAAGTGTACACTGTTCAATTTTGATTCCTAAAGGGATCCAAATGTAGTCTTCTCCAGAAAAACATGAGTACAAATACAAAATGTATGACTATAATTGAAAAACACATTAAATTCAGTAAAGAGCTGCTCTCTACTTGAATATTTTGGGTTGGAAGTTTGGACAATCCCTTTTGGTCACTGTTCAAATAGTACCAATGTGCACAGCACAGCATCCCACTTTGGAATCCACTGACATGGTCTGTTGTTGTCTTTGTTTTAAGGTTTATTTATTTATTTTAAATGCAGAGTTACAGAGAGGCAGAGGCAGAGAGAGAAAAAGAGAGTTCTTCTATCCGCTGGTTCACTCTCCAAATAACTGCAATGGCCAGAACTGAGCCAGGAGCCAGGAGCTTCTTCCAGGTCTAACACGTGGGTGCAGGGGCCCAAGCACTTGGGCCATCTTCCACCGCTTTTCCAGGCCATGGAAGAGAGCTGGATTGGAAGAGGAGCAGCCATTACTCAAACTGGCACCCACATAGGATGCTGGCACTGCAGGCGGCAGCTTTACCTGCTAAGCCACAGCACCGGCCCCTGTTGTTGTCTTAACACTGCTTAATTTTTTTGTCATGGCACTTCTGTAGCACCTGAAATACCCCCAAAGTTTTATGTATTCATTTGTCTTTTATCTGTCTCCCTCTACTAAAATGTGATTTCTAATATGTATGAATTATCTCCTATTTGTTCATTGTTGAACTCTGCACCTTGGACCACCTGCAGCAGCTGGTAGCACTCCATTCGCAAGCAGTCAATGAACAAATGAGTTGCCTCTTTCACTACCTCCTTAGCTTTGAATGAGTCATTGAATCATTCAGGGTTTCAGTCTCCCTTTAATTTCTAATATGAGGGAACTGGATGAAGTAGTCTTTCAGATCTTTCACATTAAGATGTTTTATTTGATTAAAGTATTTTCATTTGACCCCATAGACTTTTATGTATAAATTGTGTTATTTTCATATGAACTCATTTAAACAAATATTAAGTTCCCAAACAACACTGGCTATGGTTATTCACCCATTAAAGCTCCAACAAATGTCACATCTTTCCATTTTAATAATTCAGAATTATATTCAACTAAACTTAAAAAAGTGCACTTCCTATCAATTTATTGTGTCACAAGTCCAAATTCACCACACTTCATTGCCCTGCCTTGTGATAATGAAACTACACCTTCTAAACATTTCTCCTTGGTCTGTACTCAGTGGGTCTTCCTGCCCTTTTTTCCTATCCTGTCTGGGAGAAGATGGGACAACAAGGATACTCATTACCCAGCAAATTTAAATATCATTTTTCTTTAGGTTTGTTTGTTTACTTGACAGGCAGAGTAACAGAGAAAGAGACAAAGAAAAACAGAGATCTCCCATCTGCTGGTTCACTCCCCCAAATAGCTGCAATGGCCGGGGCTGGACAAAGCCAGGAGGCTGGAACTCCATCTGGGTCTCCCACATGTGTATCAGGGTTCCAAGTACTTGGGGCATCATCTGATGCCTTCCGAGGTTCATTAGCAGAGAGCTGGAGAGAGAAGAAAGAGAAAGAGAGACAGACAGACAGATCTTCCATCCACTGGTTCACTCCCCAAATGACCACAACAACTGGGGTTTGGATCAGGCTAAAGCCAGGAGCCAGGAACTCCATCCAGGTCTCCCACATGGGTGTCAACAGCCCAAGTACTTGGGCCATCCTCTGCTGCTTTTAAAGGCACAGTATCAGGGAGCTGGACTGGAAACAGAGCACTCAGGACTTAACCCACTGTGCCACAACTGCCCAGCAAATTTTTGCAGCTCCCCTGCATCAGTATCCTAGCAAGTGTGACTTGGACTTGGTGCTGCACCCACCATCTCAGAAAGTCTGGCAGGTGCCCCAGTGCGCAGTTTCCCCAACAGTTTTTCCCGTGAATTTCCCAGTCAATTTCACTGGCGTTCCAACAGGAGTTTCCTGCTTACCAGTCTTCAGCCTGAGAGGAGGAGGGTTCTAGGTTTGTCTCAGAGTCAGCAGCTCTCTATCTGCTCTTCCTGTATTCCTAAGAGTTCTCCTGACCACTTAGTAATTAATTGCTAGTGACAAGTTAATAATTCTTTACATTAAGCCTTACCTATTCAGATGATTGTGTTTTCCATTACTTGGATGAATCCTATGTGATATACTGATTTTTAAATAATTTACAGGATTAAGAGTTTGGCACAGGGGTTAAGACACTGTTTCACATACCTGCATCCGATATCGAAAGGTCTTGGTTCAAGTCCCAGCTTCCCTCCTGATTCCAGCTTATTGTTAACAAGCACCGTGGAAGGCAGCAGTTGTTGGCTCAAGTGCTTGAGTCTATGCCAACCACTTGGGAAACCCAGACTGAGTTCACAGCTCCTGGCTCCTAGCTTTGACCAGACCCGGTCCTGCCTTTTGCAGGCACTTGGGGAATGAATCAGTGGATGGAATATATCTTTCTGTATATCTTGGGGTCTGTCTCCCTGCCCTTCAAATATATGTAAAAAATTTTAAAATAAACTAAATTACTAAACTAGATTTAAGTAACATATATACTTTCAGAAGCTTTGGAAGCTCTTGTATTCAAACTATTTTATTTCTTAAAATATGTAACAAAAAAAGAAAGCTTGAAATCTAAAAGTATGTTTTCTTAGTCTCTAATTTTATACATAAGGGTTGCTTAAGAAAAGAAAGATTTATTTTTCCATCCACAAGTAATGGAAGCTGAATTAAACAGATTAGCAAATCCCTAGATTCCAATTTCCTTTGTAACAAGATAAAAATGGATGCCCTCATGTAAATTATCACACACTCCATACACGTGGTTTTATTCACATCCAATGATAGTAGCTGAAACATGATTAGGTGGGGAGTGGAAGAGGATTCTAGTTGCAATATAGTATTCCATAAACTACATGAGTCTTACAGGATATTTTATGGCTTAATGCAAAACATACAGTTGACTCTCAAAAGATAATTATTTTTCCTCCTTACAAAAAATTTTGAAGTTGCACAACACATACATGAGAATACATCAATTACTTTATGGAAAACAGAATTGAAAGATAAGTTTCTACTAGCAAAACATTTTTAAATCCATGCTTGATTTTTTTCCATAATGCATATTTTGCCTGAACTTTTTGAAGACTGCTCACATGCATGAGTTTCAAAATTATTTGCACCACAATAAATTTATTTTTTAATTCCATTTCCAGGAACTTTTTGAATCCCTCTTCCTTAACTCTTCTTCCTTCCCTTTTAAAAGCTAAACAAAATCCCCAATACTTTGTCAACCTAGTTGTTTCTCTTAGCTGGAAGACATCATGTCATATGCCAACAGATACATACATGCTTTATTCCTCGGGGCCCTACACATAGGTCCTCAGTCTTTTAAGGCAAAAATTAAAGTCAGAAGTGAAAACAAGAACTCTGCTTAAGTAAAAAGCAGTACCCTCTGGGGAGAAAAACTGTTTTTAATTTTTTGTTGATGTTATTCTTCCACTACCACTTATAAAATATTTTGTAAGCATTATTTCTATGGGGGATAAGAAAGAGGACAAAAATGGGGGATAATTTCCACATAAAACTCTACTGCACAAGGCTCAACAGGAGAATAAGAGAGGAAAACAGCATAGAAGAGCAACCTCACGCTTGAAAATACGTGTCTCTGGAATTCTTTCACTACCGGGGACCATTCTACTCCTCCCCCTATAATCTTCCTGCTATTTCAGTCACCTGGTCGCATTCCCTCATTTTGCAAGATCCATTTAAGTTCTACATGGATCTATGTAGATCTATATAAATTCAACCTACAATTACATGGCTAATTACTGGACTGAGCCTTAATGCAATGAGAGCTGCAACCCCTCTCATCATATCTACCACAGAGACACTATAGCAGACACTGCTTATTGGCTACTAAAATTTAGCCTCTCTGTCTTAAAGCAGAACCCCAATTTTTATATAAGTGCATTGTTGCCCAGTCTACCTTGTAGCTCGACGTGGCCATGAGACCATATGGCCTATAAGACATAAATAGAAGTTGGGTGTGGCTTCCAGGGATTATCACTGAGGTGTAAGTCATAGCCTTTTCTGGCATCTGGCTGTCTCTTGCTGGCTTATTAAAGCCAAACAGTTGTCATCCAAACAGCCACCTTGGATCCTAGCAAAAGGAACATGAGTGGCTGACACCATGGAGATACCATATCAGCTATAGACTGCTTACCTCAATAGAGAAATTATTTTGTTCTAGGCACTAACACACAGAGATATCGGTTCTAATCCTAACTGGTAAAGACAATTTCAGGTCACGAATTTTGTAGCTGCTTTTCTGACATAGGATAACAGATTCATTTATTCCTGCAATACATGCAACTGAAGTCTGAGAGTTTGCTACTTAAAATGTGATATACCAACTAGCAGCCATAGCATCAATGAGAACTGAAATAGAAACCCAAACTCACACCTGTCCCTTTTGAACCTGAATCTGCCTGTTAGCAGGATCCCTAGATGATGTAAATGTCTATTTCAGTTAGAAAAGCACTGTTCTAAGACACCTAAGAGTCCTACTGCACCTGCCCCTGACAGATACTACTGGGAAATTTTTATTGCATGATTTTTCTTTTAAGATCACCAAAAAGTACCCTTCCTAGCGAAATGTTCAAATTCTATTTCAGATGTTATATTCACTTGTAGACAGATGTTGGGTAAAGATCTATATTTTAAATTTTTTTCCCTGTGGTATCTATTGTTACATTTCCTTTTTTTTTAACTTTTATTTAATGAATATAAATTTCCAAAGTACAGAATACGGATTACAATGGCTTCCCCCCCAATAACGTCCCTCCAACCCGCAACCCTCCCCTTTCCCACTCCCTCTCCCCTTCTATTCACATCAAGATTCATTTTCGATTCTCTTTATATACAGAAGATCAGTTTAGCATGTATTAAGTAAAGATTTCAACAGTTTGCTCCCACACAGAAACATAAAGTGAAAAATACTGTTTGAGTACTAGTTATAGCATTAAATCTCAATGTACAGCACACTAAGGACAGAGATCCTACATGAGGAGTAAGTGCACAGTGACTCCTGTTGTTGACTTAACAAATTGACACTCTTGTTGATGGCATCAGTAATCACCCTAGGCTCTTGTCATGAGCTTCCAAGGCTATGGAAGCCCCCTGAGTTCACTGACTCTGATCATATTTAGACAAGGTCATGGTCAAAGTGCGAGTTCTCTCCTCCCTTCAGAGAAAGGTACCTCCTTCTCTGATGACCCATTCTTTCCACTGGGATCTCACTCGTGGAGATCTTTCATTTAGGTTTTTTTTTTTTTTTTTCCCCAGAGTGTCTTGGCTTTCCATGCCTGAAATACTCTCATGGGCATTTCAGCCAGATCCGCATGCCTTAAGGGCTGATTCTGAGGCCAGAGTGCTGTTTAGGACATCTGCCATTCTATGGGTCTGCTGTGTATCTCACTTCCCATGTTGGATCATTCTCTTCCTTTTTGATTCTATCAGCTGCAGACACTATTCTTGTTTATGTGATCCCTTTGGTTCTTAGTCCTATCATTACGATCAATTATGAACAGAAATTGATCACTGGGACAAGTGAGATGGCATTGGTACATGCCACCTCGATGGGATTGAATTGGAATCCCCTGGTATGTTTCTAACTCTACCATTTGAGGTAAGTCAGCTTGAGAATGTCCCGAATTGCACATCTCTTCCCTCTCTTATTCCCACTCTTATATTTTACAGCGATCACTTTTCAGTTAAGTTTCAGCACTTAAGAAGAATTGTGTATTGATTACAGTATTCAACCAAAAGTATTAAGTAGAACAAACAAAAAAAAAATACTAAGAGGGATAACATATTAAGCTGCTCATCAACAGTCAGGGTGAGGGCTGATCAAGTCACCGTTTCTCATAGTGTTCATTTCACTTTAACAGGTTTCCTTTTTGGTGCTCAGTTAGTTGTCACCTATCAAGGAGAACAAGTGGTATTTGTCCCTTTGGGATTGGCTTATTTCACTCAACATGATGTTTTCCAAATTCCTAACAGGGATCACTTTTCAGTTAAAATTTAAACACCTAAGAATAATTGTGTGTTAATTAGAGAGTTCAACCAATGATACTAGAATAAAAAAAAAAATACTAAAATGGATAAAGTATTACATTGTACATCAACCGTCAGGACAAGAGCTGATCAAGTCACTGTATTTTAAATTTAATAAACATCAAAAAGCAATTGTAAACATGGTATTCTCTGTTTCAGGAAACCTTATGAACATAAAACGCCAAGGATCAGTTATAAAGTGAGGGAATATCACTTTTTATTTTTGTGGGGTTTTTTTTGTCATTTTTTGATTGGCCTTTTGGAACATTTTAATCCAGGCACATGTTTCTTAACCCTAATCTAGAGGTCTTTTTCCCACAAATTGTGGCTTATTTGTGCAGGCAGGAGCCACACAAGAACAAGAGCTTGGTAGGTCTTTCAGAGTTAAGATACACCTGCCCTAGTTGTACAGCAAGTCAGAGATAGAAATAGGACAACTCTGGCTATTAGATATCAAAATTCCTTCTCTAATCATCACTGCCAACAACAAAATCCATTACAAAATTCTGGCCTTGCTAGTGCTGTGACTTAGCAGGTAAAGCTGCTGCCTACAGTGCTGGAATCCCATTTGGGCACCAGTTCGAGTCTTTGCTGCTCCACTTCCGATCCAGTTCTCTGCTATGGCCTGGGAAAACAGTAGAAGCTGGCCCAAGTCCTTGGGATCCTGCACCCACGTGGGAGACCTGGAGGAAGCTCCAGGCTCCTGGCTTCAGATCGGCCCAGCTCCGGCCATTATGGCCATCTGGGGAGTGAACCAGCAGGTAGAAGACCTCTCTTTCTTTCTCTTTCTCTCTCTCTCTCTCTCTCCCTCTCTCTCTCTCTCTGCCTCTCTGTAACTCTGCCTTTCAAATAAATAAATAAATATCCTAAAAAAAATTCTGGCGTTACAAAGATTTTTCAAAAATATTTTGAAAGGATGAGGTTCAAAGTAATATAATACACATTTTCAATGAGTAACTATAATTGTAAAAAAAAAAAAAGATCACTCTTGAAATGTTATGTGACATTTCAGTTTCTATAATTATTTTAAACATAATAATGATGACTTAAGTCATAGTAATGTTTAATGATGGGTGCTGATAATGTTACTAAACTAAAAGGAGAAGCTGCTCAAATAACTGAACATCTTATTCTAGATTCCTACATTTATACTGACAGTTTTGAGGTTACTTCTAGCACTCCAAGTACTCTTCAGTGCTTTAAAAAAAAAGATTTATTTTTTTATTTGAAAATCAGAGTGACAGAGTGAGAAGGACAGAAGAGATGGAGATGGAGACGTGGGGGGGGGGGAGGGAGAGAGGGAGAGAGGGTGAGAGAGAGAGAGAGAGAATCTTCCATCAGCTGGTGCACTCCTCAAATGGCCACAATGGCTGGAGTTGGGCCAGGTTGAAGCCAGGAGCTAGGAACTCTATCCAGGTCTCCCATGTAGGTGGCAGGGACAGACTACTTGGGCCATCTCTGGCTGCCTTCTCTGGCACATTAGCAGAAAGCCAAATTGGAAGCAGAGCAGCTGCAACTGGAACCAGTGAGCTGATATGGAATGCCGGGTTACAAGCAGGGGCTTACCCCACCGAGCCACAATACCAGCCATGTGTTCAGTGCTTTAAACAAAGTTTCAAGCAATGTGGTTAAAGACATAAGAGAACTGAAGTCAGACACACATAAGGTTATAATTCAATATTTTAAAAGGGAAAATAGAGTGATAAATGTTTGCTTCTTATGTTTATATACAACTTTAACAAAATTGACATAATTTCCCAAAATAAATTGTACAATGTAATAATGTTAAATACACATATATGCCTATAAAATCATCAACACAACCAAGTCAATGAACATATCCATTGCCCCAAAAATTTCTTCATTCCATTTTCTTAATCCCTCCCACCTGTACTTCCCCACTCCCTGAACCCTGCCTCCATTTTGTCCTTGATTAGTTTGAATTTCCTACAATACTATTTGTCCAACTTCTTCCACTCAGCATAGTGATTCTGATTACCAGACAAGTTGTTGCATAAATCAGTGCTCATCCCTTCTTACTGAAGAGTAGTATTCCCTTGTAAGGACATACTTGGGTTGTTTAGCACTCATCTGCAATAGATGGGTATTGGGGTTGTTTCGAACTCTTAGCTATTACAACAAATAAACTTGCAAAGAACATTTCTGTAAAAATTTGTGTGTGGACAAACATTTTCATTTCTCTTACTAGAATTTGGAAATTGTGGTAGATGTTGGTAAATTTAAAGTCTTAAGAAGCTGCCAAACTGCTTTCCCAAGTTAAGCTTCAGCAGTAACATACAAGAATTTAAGAAAAGTGAGATTTTAAGAATACTGAGTTTTCCTAACCAAGGATACAGTGTGTCATTTTCTTGACTCATTTAGCTTTTCAAATTTATATCAACAATGTTTAGTAATTTTCAGTGGCCAAGTCTTATACATCTTTGGTAAAATTTAAATATTTAATTTTATGCACTTTTAACTCATAGTGTTTAAATTTCAAATTGCTCATTGCTACTATACAGAAATAAAACTGAATTTCAAACTACTTTCATTTCAATTTTGATGTTTTTTGTTATCTTGCCTTATAGCATTGACTGGGATTTTTAAGTATAATGTTAAATGGGAGCGGGAAAGAAAATTCCTCATCCTGATCTTACGGGGAAGGCATTCAGACTTTCAGCATTAAGGGAGATGTCACAGATACTTTCATAAGATTCAGAAATGTCCCTTTTATTCTTAGTTTGCTGAGAACCACTACCAGAAAGGAATGTTTAATTTTGTCTTTGAGTTTTCCAGGATCTATCAAGAAGATGGTATAGTTTTACTCATTTGTTTTTCCTTTTGGCTAGTTAATTTTTTTCAGTTTATTATTATGATGAATTACACTGCTTGATTTTCAAATATTAGTCAAAACATAAACACCCAGGATCAACTTCACTTGACTCCATTGGATTCTATTTGTAAAATTTGGTTAATTATTTTCATCTCTAGGTTCATGACCTTTTCTTCCTAATTGCCAATTAAATGAACAAAAATAAGAAAAAAGTATTTCACCTTTAGTTACATGTTGACTATTTCCAGTGATCTTCATTACTTTATGTGGATCCAGGTTTTCATCTGCTGGACCTTCTTTACTCTTTCCTCCAGTGTGGGACTAATGGCTATGAATTCTTTTGGCTTTCTCATATCTGGAAAAAAAATCACTTTACTCTTTCAAAGAGTGTTTTCAGTGGGTATTTTCAGTAGATGGATAATTCTAAAGTAATCATTGTTTAAGTAAGTTGCTCTACTATCTACTGGTTGTGTAACCGATAAGAAATGTGAGAGGTCTGGAAATAATTTGTCAAAACTGTTCATGAAAATATTATGGATTTCAAAACCTTTTTGTACTAAAATAAATTTTCTTTTAATTTCACATTTTCAGACTTTTAAAGCACCTGCATGTGCCATAATTCTTACCTTTTCCCTCTGCACACGCATAATGTTTCCTTTTCTCCTCACCTGCTTTTTTGTTTATTTTTGTTTAATTGAAAGGGAGAGGGATAGAAATGTCTTCCATTCCCTGGTTCACTCTCCAAATGCCTACATCAGCCAGGATTTTGCCTGGCCAAAACGAGGAGGCCAGAACCCAATCTGGGTCTCCCATGTGGGGTGTCAAGGATCCAAATACTTGAGCTGTCACTTGCTGCCTCCCAGTGTCCACATCAGCAGGAGGCAAGACATGAACGCAGGTGCTCCCATATGGGATGCAGGTGCCCCAAGTGGCATCTTAATTGCTGTATCAAACATCTGCCCCCTCACCACCTTTTAATATTTTCTTTCATCACTGGTTTTAAACAGTTTGAGGAGAGCAGGTATCTTCATGTTTAATGTGCTTAAGGATTATTCACCTTTTGAAACTCTGGATTCATTGCTTTCATTTGATTTAGAAGATTCTCTGATATTATGGGGAGGATATGACTATTTGAGGTGGGGGTGTAACTGTTGTCACTGTTATTTCATTTGGGCTAGAAGTAAGTATCTTAAAATATCTCTGATGTAAAAGCAAATAGAGTTGGAATTTAATCTAATCTCTGCCACTTGCTTACTCTTGTTTAAGCTTTACTTCCTCATTTCTGAAAATAATATATAAAACTTAAATGAAATAGTGTACATAAATTCTTATAGAGTATCATTTACACTATAAGTATATTATATGAATAATTTAGAAACTATATCCAAAACTGAAGACTCTTTCAAGGCATCAGAGATAAATTTCAATGGCAAGCAACCAACTAATGAAAACCATCAAAGTTATTTTACAAATATACACACACTCTTTGGAGATAACAGGGTATGTGTTTTATAGATATATATGTTATTTCTTGCAGTAATCCAAATCACTCGGTATTTCAAAAAGAATGACTTAATAGTGTTGCATTGTACTTGGTTGAATTTCATCAGCTGTAGAGAGAAGTGCTGTTTTAATATTTGTTTCCTAGAATTTTCTTGTCCTTTTCCTCTTGAAAATAATAATGATAATAGTGTCTTAAAGCAATTCTCAGTAAATTCAAAAAAACTGAAATCACACCAATCATCTTTTACGACAATTATGACAAAAAAAATGGAATGAAACTGGACATTAATAACCTAAGAATCTCTTAAAAATATGCAAAAACATGGAGACTGAACAACATGCTTCCAAATGAACAGTGTGTCATTGAAGAAAATCAAAAGAGAAATAAAAAAATTCCTGGAAATGAATGGCAATGACAATACAACATATCAAAACTTATAAGATACAGAAAAAGCAGTGTTAAGCAGGAAATTTATAGCAATTAGTGCATACATCAAGAAATTGAAAAGGCATCAAATAAATGAGCTATTGATAAATCTCAAGGACCTAGAAAGAAAAAAAAAATCTACCCCAAAATTAGTAGGAGGAAAGAAATAATTAAAATTAGAGAATAAACAAAACTGAAACAAAAAAATCAAAAGATCAGTGAAAATAAGAGCTGTTTTTTTGAAAACATAAATGAGATTTATACACCATTGGCCCAGCTAATGGAAAAAAAAAGAGGGGAAAAAGCCAAAAGCAATAAAATCAGAACTGAAAAAACAAATGTAACAGTGGATACCCCAGAAATTAAAAAGAATCATCTGGAATTACTACAAACAGCTATATGCCAACAAATTGGAAAATCTAAAAGAAATGGATAGATTCCTGGATACATACAATCTACCAAAAGTGAGTCATAAACAGACCACTAACCATGACAGAGATCAAATCAGTAAAAAAGACCCTCCTAACATACAAAAGCCCAGGACCAGAGTGCTTCACTATTGAATTCTATCAGACATTTCAAGAAGAACTAATTCCAATTCTTCTCACACTATTCAAAACAATTGAAAGGGAAGGAATCCTTCCAAATTCTATGAAGCCAGCATCACCTTAATTCCAAGACCAGAAAAACATACAACATAGAAAGAGAACTATAGACCAATATCACTAATGAATGTAGATGCAAAAATCCTCAACAAAATGGTAGCTAATCAAGTCCAACAACATATCAGAAAGATCATTCACCCAGATGAACTGAGATTTATCCATGGTATGTAGGGGATGATTCAACATATACAAATCAATAAATGTGATACTGTTGCAGTGGATTCGTTCTGAGAGAAGGAGTGTGGTGGGGGCAAGAGGCATGGAGTCACCACACAGACCCCGGGAGTCAGATGAAAGCGGGCCAGAGGCAAGCAATCCACAGATTCGTTTATTTCAGTTGGTACAGCAGCTTATATAGCCGAGGTAGCCAATCCGGCCAAGGGGGTTTATGTCCTAACCAATCACAGCCTGTTGCCAGGCAGGCTCAGTTGCCAGGTGGTTTCCCAGGTGGTTTCCCAGGGGGTTTCTGAAGCCATTCCTGAGGCACTGTTGCCAAGTGGTTTCCCAGGGGTTTTCTGAAGCCATTCCTGGGTAACTGACACTCACTTGCCAGCGACATCTTGGCACAGCCTCCCCACTCCACCACATTTCCCCTTTTTTGTTTATTTTTGAGTAACAGGAGGCATGATTCTTGGCCATACCATTGTTGGCCCCATTTCCATGTGGTCTCTGTACGCGGTTGTGTCTGTCTTAGGTTGTCCACCAGGATCTTACCGTCATTGACTAACCAGCCCCCAAAACAGGAAACCACAGGAGTGCTTGCTCAGATGGGGGTAGGAATGAGGAACAATGGTAATCAGGAATGGCGTGACCGCATGCAGGCTGTGGGCCGTTCGAGTGCCTGACCAGAGCTAAGTGGGGTATAAAGCATTAGTGGATGTGGCTATGGGTAATTCCTCAGGGCAGGAGGATAGGGCAGCAGCTTGACAATTGGTAGCAGGTGCATCTGCTAACAAGGCGGACTCTCAGTCTGGTTCAGCTGGTTATGGTTGGCTGTCAGTTGCAGACTTGATGTTCTGGCTGGTACCAAAATGGCCTGTCCCACATTCTCTGGAAAGACACAAGCATATCCTCGGCCCTTGGTTAGCAAAAGCCTTTTTTGGGCATTGGAATCCAGGGCCTGAATTCTGCATCCACTTTGAGAGTAAAAGCAAAAATGCAGGTGGGACAGGGTCTAGGGGCTGCCCTGAGACCCTGGGGTGCCTGGGGACTGCCACAAATGTGGGGATCCTCACTGGGTGAGGATGGGATGAACTCGCATAGGTTACTGCCTCGAGGTCATCTAAGTTCATCCCATGGGTATTTGGGAGGGTGGCTGACTAGGCATTGCTGCGCTGTTTGCTGTCATGTCATTGTCACTGTCAGAGCTCTCTCTCCCCAAGTCATCAACTGTACCTGTGAGACAGTGGCCTGGAGTGACAGGCTCTTATCACTCAGATTTATTATGTTTGGTAATCAGTGTGGGTTTCTGAGAGGGGGGTATCTTTCCCATGTTTGAGGACTTAAGAGCGGCACGCCACACCAACTCTACCCAAAGGAAAGAAACCCACAGCACTGCTGCCATAACAAAACAAATTCCTGGCCGGTGCCGTGGCTCACTTGGCTAATCCTCTGCCTACGGTGCCGGCACCCCGGGTTCTAGTCCCAGTTGGGGTGCCAGATTCTGTCCCGGATGCTCCTCTTCCAGTCCAGCTCTCTGCTGTGGCCCAGGAAGGCAGTGGAGGATGGCCCAAGTGCTTGGGCCCTGCACCTACATGGGAGACCAGGAGGAAGCATCTGGCTCCTGGCTTCTGATTGGCACAGTGCACCAGTCACAGCAGCCATTCGGGGGGAGGGGGTGAACCAACAGAAAGGAAGACCTTTCTCTCTGTCTCTCTTTCTCACTCACTGTCTAACTCTGCCTGTCAAAAAAAATTGAAAATTTAAAAATTTAAAAAAATAAAAAAACAAATTCCTAGCACCTCAGTGCCTGGTGGCATTATGCAGGGGGTTCCCCATGTTAGACGAACAGACAGTGATGTACCAGATCATAAGTATGTCCTGTGCTTAGTAGGGGACTTCCTTGACTCATTAGGTCAAGGCCATATGCCCACACGATGTCTCCAGAGCATCATCTCTCTCAAGTGAGGGAAGATGACTTGGTTCTGAGTTCTAGGATGATCAGTCCCTTATGTGAATTTGCCAGGTGAACCAAAAGTAAAAGGAGGAGCAGAGAAGCAGCGTTACACTTCTGGGCAGTCTGTGCCTAACCTGGGGTCACTTTGACTGAGGACAAGGACAAGGAAAGGGGTGTAGGAGGGGGTTCTGTGCTCACCCTCACAGAACTGAACAGCACACAAAACATCAAAGGGCCTACTTGCCGAAATTAAGGGGGGAACTCGCCAAGTCCAAAACACTGTCCCTCAGTCATGTTGGGTGTCAGATGTTGCTGTGGATTCATTCTGAGAAGAGGAGCACAGTGGGGGGCAAGAGGTGCAGAGTCACCCCACAGACCCTGGGAGTCAGATGAAAGCGGGCCAGAGGCGAGCAGCCCACAGACTCATTTATTTCAGTTGGTACAGCAGCTTATATAGCCAAGGCAGACAATCCGGTCAACGGGCAGTTTATGCCCTAACCAATCATAGCCTGTTGCCAGGCAGGCTTGGTTGCCAGGTGGTTTCCCAGGGAGTTTCCAAGCCATTCCTGAGTAACTGACGCTTACTTGCCAGTGGCCATCTTGGCATAGCCTTCTCATTCCACCACATGATACATCACATTAAC